TTCTTACGAAATTACTCATTAAGGTATTTATTATATTCACCATTTCTGTGATTAAGATTCATCATTTCCAAGAGTACAAAACACATTTTGGTTGGCTAAAAAAAATAGACTGGAGTGATATTTCTGTTTGCGTGAAAATCATTGTATCTTAGGAGACAAACATCGAAATTTTTATTAGGACCAATGTGGGGCGAAATTTGTCTTAAAGACATAGTATCAAATACAAGTTTTGATCTAAAGCTTTAATCTATGTTATTGTTCGACAATTGGGTTAATTTTATGTGTTACAGCTTGTTCTTAATTGCATGATATAAATCAAAATTTTCAATAATTAATCTGTCATATTAATATCATCCTCCCAAAAAATTTCTCCTTTCTCCTATGAAGTAACACCCTTCTTCCCCTTTCTCATATGTAATAGGTAAATTATTTTATGAAAAAATTGCTAAATTAGTCGAATGAGCAATACATGGCCATTATTTATATTAGGATAAATTAACATAACAAAATGTAACAAAGTATAAAATTTAATGCTTTTGGTCGAGATGCTTAAATCCAAAATGTATCCAAAACCAACATGACACGCATGGTCTTAGGCACTTTGGCACTTTTTCTTTTTAAGCTTTTATGCCATATATAAACTAAAGGGGTGTGCTATAATATTTCAAAACTCATAGAGGGTGTTATTAAAATATACGTTAAATTCAATAAGTGTTAGTGAAATTTACCCAATTAAAACGTATAAAAGATAATTTTTAAAAGTTGAGGAGAACCATCAAGGGCGCACCAAGAATTATGTTCTAATGGAGAGAAGTATGACTAGCAAAATTCACCAACTATTACAAAATATTTTTCCAACCATTTTAAAATGTGTTATGATTTATGATGGGCCAAGCCCAAGAGTCCAACTCATATTATAAGTCCGGTCTAAGTTTAAAGGCGTAACTCCAAAAGGGCCATCAAGTTCAGCCCAATGTAATTGATCTAGTCAAACTCATTAAGTTCAAGGAGTTACATCAACAAAGAGCATGCAAGGTTATTTAGGAGTCTCCTCTACACCACCAAGGAAACGTCCAGGAGCCTCACCCTCATCGCTTGGAGAGAGTTAATCTTCCTTCATCCTTTGACCAAGTTTTTTAGAGAGCATCATAAACTTCTTTGTCGTTGAAGAAAGCAGTAGTCGCCAAACTATTTAATCGTTATTAAAGTCTCCTCAAATCCGTTAGGACTATTAAACGGTGTCAACCCGTTATGACCGTCAGACTAGCTATTTAATTAATATACTTGGTTACTATAAATTGTAAGTCTCACCAACAATTAGGGGGCATCTCACTCATTTTGAGCACAATTCTCTCCTCCTCTCTAAAAGCTTGTAATCTCTTGCTCTCCCATTGCATCAAAGTTAATAAAATTTCAACGATTCTTGCCATTCCAAGTAGGCGTATGTCACCTTAACCAAACCATTACAAACTTGATTTTCTCTCTCTTTATTTTACTGTCTTTTATATTACTTAATTGACAGGTGGTGCAAACTAATTTTCTGCATTATCAATTTAAGACTAAATTAGTAAATGAAAAAATATTAATCAGTTTCCATTCGGCCGGAGAACATAAAATATTTTTCTGAGTACATTTTAACTTAATCGTATATCAAAACAGCACGCGTCATATGAAAATTTGGTACAAGTGCTTGCGCATTGACTGGAATCGTTTTCAGTTAATCGTACTCTTCCTTGCCATTAAATGCTATCCTTCCCGGAAGGTCTCATCCATGCAGTCGGGTATTATTATGCATATATATAGTAGTTGTACATTGGTTCTGAGAGAGACCCAGAATTCTAATTGAGCACCTTCAATCATTATTTTCAAAACCCTTTGAAGCTTCTGCCATCAATTGTCAATGGCTTCTTCTTCATCTTCCAAGTATCCGTATCCACCGGAGGACGTCGATGTAGGAGACTTTGTCACCATCAAGCTCTCTAACACGAACTACAAAACCTGGAAAGCCATAATGCTTCGCTTTATTGGGACTCAAGGTCTGCTTGGGTTCATCAATGATGAAAAATCACCACCTCCTGCAGAGAGGAGCACAGTAGTCGATGAGAGCGATGGCATAAAGAAGATAGAGGACATGGAGTACCAAGAATGGGCAAGATCAGATGGGCTGTTGAGAGATTGGATCTTAGCAACACTGAGCCCAGATATCCGACCTCTACTGTCCATGTTGAAAACTGCCCAAGATGTGTGGTTCGCACTAGAAATTGCCTTCAATCAGCCTCTCTTGGATGAAACTAAAACCGGTAAGGAAACTCTGTCGGACGTCGATGTCGGAGACTTTGTCAACATCAAGCTCTCTAACACGAACTACAAAACCTGGAAAGCCATAATGCTTCGCTTTATTGGGACTCGAGGTCTGCTTGGGTTCATCAATGACGAAAAATCACCACCTCCTGCAGAGAGGAGCACAGTAGTCGATGAGAGCAATGGCACAAAGAAGATAGAGGACAAGGAGTACCAGGAATGGGCAAGATCAGATGGGCTGTTGAGAGATTGGATCTTAGCGACACTGAGCCCAGACATCCGACCTCTAGTGTCCACGTTGAAAACTGCCCAAGCTGTGTGGTTCGCACTAGAAATTGCCTTCAATCAGCCTCTCTTGGATAAAACTAAAACCGGTAAGGGAACTCTGTCTATATACTATCTATTTGCTTTTGGTAATGTTGAAATCCAACTCAACCCACTCATTTATCACCTCTAGGTTGGATATTTAACTAAATTTTATTCATTTATAATTCAAACAAACTAAAAATCGAGGGAAATCAGATAGGCTGTTGAGAGGTTGGATCTTAGCAACACTCAATCAAGATCTCTTACCTCAAGTGTCCATGTTGAAAACTGCCCAAGATTTGTGGTTGGCACTAGAAAAAGCCTTAAATCAACCTCTCTTGGATGAAACTAAAACCGGTAAGGGACCTCTCTCTATATATACTATCTATTTGCTTCTAGTAATGTTGAATTTGATAGCAACAGTACTACACTACTGGGTAAGGGTAAGCGTTACTTGTTTTTGTCTCATTTACAAAAATATAGTTTAGATATTTCACTAAATTTTATTTATTTATAATTCAAACAAACTAAAAATCGAGCCGCAAACGAAGATCCTTGGATGTCAATTTGAATATTTTGTGATGCCAGACCAAGAAATTACAATATCAAGAACTTCAAAGGCGGCAAAGTTGCCATCCCATCTATCCAGTGATTTAGTGATATTCTTATTAGTATAGGATGAAATTTCATCTTCATATAAGGGCTATTACCTGTTTTTGGATAAAAATGGAAAACAAAAAGTAAAAGATGTTGTCTTATGTGAAAACTAGTAATAGCTTGTACATGAAAACACGATTTAATATAAAAAAAAATTTGAAAGGTCAAAAAATCGATCACTTTATATTAAATAGTAATAATTTCTTTCTTTCTCTTTTTTTAATTTCTACCAATTATTTTTTAAAACAAAAATAATAACATATGTACACTATCATTTATAAAGCACAAATTATACAGAGTCACAAACTAATAAAAAATTAAATGATTCAATTTACAATAGAATGTGTGAAGATAGAATTCAGGTGCCTAACTTTCATATTATATAGATATAGATGTTAATTAAGTAATGCAGTGGTTAAATATATTAAAGCTCCTTTTAAATTAAGGCAAAATAAAATTATAAAACTTTGTTTTCAAATTTCTTTTTGACAGTCTCTTTAAATTTGAGCCCAAAATAGTATTTAATTAACGTTAATTCATTCAATCTTATTTCTCATCTTATTTTTCAATCACTACAAATATTGAGATAATTGAAAAAAGGCTAATGATATATTTTTCCTGCATCTAAGGAAGCTTATTGGTTAGAGAATGACTAGTTGACAAAGTCAATCTCAAACACAATAACTTGGAAAAATGGTACTCAATTTTTTTTTAAAAAAAATCAAGTTACATTTTGAGAGGTAATTCATGATCAATAATAAAATATTGTAGTCAATCATAAATAACCCTTAATAGCATCTCTAATCCTGACTTAATTTGAGTTTAATGTTTCGTTTAGTACGATGAAAAAGTAGGAGGCTGAAAAGTTAGAATGATGGAAAATTAGAGGGATAAATAAAATATCATATTTGGTAAGAAAGAAAAGTAGGAAGGATGAAAAAGTGAATGAATTAGGAGCAATGCTACGTGAACTTAAAAAGTAGACTTCTTTCCTTTCAACTCACCAAAATCAATCCCTCCAAAATCGGAAGGAAAAAATTAATTATTTGTGTTGAAATGTATCTTATTTGTCTATATACCTTTTTATATATACATATATTATGTATAAATTAATTTCAAATAAAAATATAATAATAAAATATGTGTATATATATATATATATATTTAAAAAAATTATATAAATAAATTTTAAATAAAATAAAAAAATTAAAATAAATTAAAATAAAAAATTATATTTTTTCCATTTTAATTAAAGGTAAAAATTTTCGACTTGACACGATGATATGATTGAACTCGATACAAAAATAAATAAATAAACTAACAACTCGACACGACATAATTAATTAAATTAGTTAAATTAGATATGATTAATATTCGACACAAATTTGTAATGACTCAACATAAATCTGACACAATATGACTCAATTATCATCCTAATCTTAGTCAATACAAAATAAAAAAAAATTATTTTTATTTTTTATCAATCTAATCAAATATAAAGGAAAAAAATGTACTTTTTTTTATTTTTATATTAATTAATAAAAAAATATCTTTCATATTTTTTATCCCTCTTCCTTTTCATCTACCCTGCCAAACAAAGCATAAATGATCCAAATATCTTCTCTAACATTGCACTCAAATCTAGACCAAATGAAGAAAAAATTCATTCCCGATCTAAATTAAAGAGATCCAAATTTTTAATTCTATACCAAATTTTTAACAAAAACTTTTTATTCTATGCAAATCAAAAAAACTTTCTCAATGACTTGATCTCTCCTTGTTCCTGTCTCTCTCTTCTACGCTGCTTCTGTCGCCGATCATCGTTGAAGTCTTCACAGATCCTTTGAAGACATGTATGTAAGCTCCACATCTCCGAAAGAGAGAGAGAACAACCCCGTTTGCCTGCGCTTAATCCCCTGTAGCTCCACATCTCCTCCAACGTGAAAACGAAACCCACCGCCCATCACGGACTTGAGCACCACCGTGTAACCACTGCAAGTGTGCTTCACAAGAGTTATATACCAGTGCGAGTCCCAGCCTGGCTGAGCCCACCCTATTTTCTGCCTTTAAAGCCCTCATGGAGGTCCAAGGACCCAAATCTCTCCTACTACCTCACCAACCTTAAAAACCCAAATCAAATCTGCGCTTGGATGGGCCGGAAGACCATCATCAACCTCACTATACCTTACAATAGTCCATCTCTTTCTCATACCAGCTGTCATCTTTTGCCCTGTAGAGTAATGTAAGTTTCTTGAGCTTTGATGATTTGTTGTGGAGAATAATGGCAACGTATTGTTTGCTGGAAATTGGTTATTTTAATTGGAATTGAACTGAATCTTAATTTAGAACTGGGTTAGAATGTGAAAACTTTCAGTGGATTTCGTAGCTGGGAATGTAGTTGTGGGTGGGTGTTAAATAGTCAAGGGATGACATGAATTTCAAACCTGTTGGGTATGGTTATAGTTTTACCAAAAACAAATTGTTGCTATATATGCTTTTTATTTATGTATACTCATTTTGTACTGGCTTTAATTTGTCGTCATCAAATCTCACCACCTAATTCGACTATTGTCTCTGGTAGCTTAATTTGAAGCGTGTGTTAAAAAATGCAAGTGAATCATAGCCTGCAATGCATGAAGTGGATAAAAAATAACCCATAAAATTTATCACTACTCTTTCCCTAAAGAAATCAAAGACAAGTTGTCTGGTCTCCATGAGCCAGGGCAGAGTCAGAAATTCCATCTAGAGTGGGAACTTTGCTTAAATACTTTATTTTTTTTTCTTCTCAATTAATAAAAATAAAATAATATATTAAAATTTAGTGCATTGTATTTGATACTTATAGATTCTTAAGATACAAAAAGGGTTAAATGTCGATAAATATAACATATATATATATATATAAATTAAAAAAGAGGCTAATAACAACCTTTCACAACAAATGAGACTAATTGCATAAAAATACTATAGTCTTTCTTGATATAACTAATTAAACTATTAGCCATTAATCACTCATTCAATTATAGGACCTAGTTTTTATTATCTATATAGCTCAAAAAATGAGTTGGACATATAAAAAATTTATCTAAGTATATCCATAAAGTATCTAAAAAGCGTTCAAAAGTTTATAGTTATTTAATTATGTGACTATACTAATTGATAGAACAAAAAATAATATAGTAGACACACTTAAATATACTTACAATTATTTGAAATATGCAAGAAAAAGTTTAGGGTGGACCTGTCCCCCCCGGGGGGGGGGGGGGGGGGGGGGGTCCTCATGTGGCTCTGCCCGTGCCTCGACCCTTGCTGGCTTTTGTTCTATGATCTTGACTTTGGGTCAGGGGTTTAAGGTTTGTGGAAATAGAAGCTATTCAAAGTTATGTTTAAGCAAACATGTTTTTTTTTATTCATACGTGATTGATGACAGGGGAAAACAGAGCAGCTGGGAAAGATCTTAGCCATTATCTGCCTCTGTACGAAGCTGCACTCCATGGTGACTGGGAGAAAGCCAGCACAATTTTGGAACAAGATCCAAAAGCTTTCAAGGCAAGAATCACAGGAGCCTCAGAAAGGGCTTTGTTCGTGGTGATTAGATCACCGAGGAAAAACCATTTTCTAAAGAAGCTGGTGGAACATATGTCATCAACCGATCTGGCTTTCGTTGACGAAGATGGCTCAACAGCTCTTCATATAGCTGCAATAGCTGGCAACATCGAGGCAGCCAAGTTGCTGGTGAATAAGAACTCTGACCTGCCTAATATTTTGGACAATAATAACTCACTACCTATCCATTCAGCTGCAGCTTGCGGTGAACGGGAGATGTTTCTCTACTTAATGACAGTTACCAACGCAAACATGGAGCCGAAGCCATTCGAGGATGAATCAGGTGTTAGACTAGTTCATGCTCTGATAACTTACGGATATTATGGTGAGTAGCAGGTTTTAAACACTAAATGAAGAATAATACTTATAAGAAACCAGTATGATTTCATCATTTTTTGGCTATTATACATTTAATACTAATTAAAAAACAGTTAATGTGCCAGAAAGAAAGCTAATATGGTGATTGATTTCTCATTATTCTGTCTTTCCTATCAATGTTACAGACCTGGCTCTCACTTTGGTTAAGTGCTGCCCTAAGTTGGCATGTTGGGATCCATCTCCTTTGCAATCAATTACAGTAAAACATTATGCTTTCCGGAGTGGAGCACGCTTAAAACACTGGCAAAGATTGATCTACAATTGTTAGTCTTTTCAATCTTTTTCCTCTTTTGTGTTTCTTATTATGCAAATGTTTCTTCTTTGAACACTGTTTGCATATTAACTTCTGTACCTTTTTTTTTGGTCACATCCTAAATTTTCAAAGTATGATTTGATGTTGTATATAATTCTAATATATATATACCAGTTCTCAATGTCCGAACCTGGTTAAATCTGATGATCAGTAATGACTGATGGCTCTCCCATTATCTGCAAGATAGAAACTGATCAAATGGATGGCAGAGCTCACCAGTAATGGATATTTTGTCATGCATTCCTGGCATCCTGACCTCCATTTTCTCTCTAATCCAGCTTAGTAAATTTTTAGCTAGAGGAACTGAATGCTGGTTCTTATATTAAGAGCGCAACTTGCACCGGTGGATCACAAACCTGGGAGAATTTTTTTATTGTTAACTTCACTTGGAATATGTGAAAGGGATACTCAAACTCAAAGTAGAGTCCCGTATATATAGCCAAGAATAATACAGAGTAAGGGTAAAAAAGAGAATCTAATAAACCTAGACTACTATCTATACTCCAACACTCCCCCTCAAGCTAGGCGCAAAATGTCAACTAAGCCAAGCTTGACAACGGAGTCCCGAAGAATAGGCAGAGTGACAGGTTTGGTAAAAACATCCGCAACTTGATCACTGGTCCCCACAAACGATGGAGTAACAAGACCACTGCTGACCTTCTCCCGAAGAAAGTGAACATCGATCTCTATATGCTTCGTTCTCTCATGTAGTACAGAGTCAGAAGCGAGCTGAATAGCAGATTGATTATCACAATATAATGTGGATGGAGAGGTCACTGAAAAACCCAACTCGTCAAGAATCGATCGTAGCCAGATAATCTCACATGTGCCAAGTGCCAATGCCCGATACTCTGCCTCTGCGGACGAGCGGGAGACAACTGCCTGCTTCTTGCTCTTCCAAGAGATAAGATGAGTCCCTCAAAAAGCACAGAAACCCGTAGTAGATCGACCATCACATGCTCCCCCATAATCTGAATCTGAATAACAGGCTAGAGAACCGGTCTGAGATCCTGATGCATAAAACAATCCAAGTCCAGGACAAGACTTGAGGTACCGAAGAATATGATAAACTGCATCAAGATGAGGCTGACATGGCCTATGCATGAACTGACTAACTCGGCTGACTGCGAATGAAATGTCCGGCCTAGTATTGGCTAAGTAGATAAGTCTACCTACCAATCTTTGATAAACTGTCGGATCTTTCAACTCCTCACCTTCAGCAGTAAGCTTCAGGTTTGGAATCATAGGTGATGATGCCGGTTTGCACCCCAACATTCCAGTGTCTGAAAGAAGATCCAAAACATACTTTCTCTGAGAAAGAACAATACCTCTGCTTCTACGGGCAACCTCAATCCCAAGAAAGTATCGCAGAAATCCAAGATCCTTCACATCGAAGGCCTTCCCAAGGTCTATCTTGACCTGCGCAGTCCCAGAAACATCATCACCAGTAATAATAATATCATCAACATATACCAGAAGGATGACACACTGTCCAGAAGTATTCCGTCGAATAAAGCAGGTATGATCAGAATGACACCTGGTGAACCCCAATCGTAGGACTACATCACTGAAGCGAGAGAACCAGGCTCGTGGCGACTGTTTCAGTCCATAAAGAGACTTACGCAGTCGACATACCTTTCCAGCATACTCCCCCTCACCACGAAAGCCCGGTGGTGCATCCATATAAATAATCTCGTCCAGATCACCGTGAAGAAACGCATTCTTCACATCTAATTGATGAAGAGGCCAAGAGTACTCCGCAGCTAGAGAAATAATTAACCGAACAATAGTCAATTTTGCCACGGGGGCAAATGTAGCACCAAAGTCACGACCTGGTACCTGAGTAAAGCCCTTCGCCACAAGTCTAGTCTTGTAACGATCAATAGTACCATCTGCCAGAAACTTCAGGGTGTAAACCCAGCGACAGCCAACAGGCTTCACCCCTGAAGGTAAGGAGACAAGATCCCATGTATGATTACGCTGAAGAGCGTCCATCTCTGTCTGCATGGCAAGAACCCACTGGGGCTCCCGCATAGCTTCCGAAATAGAGCGAGGAACCAGCGTATCTGATAAGGCCATAGTATAAGCTCGAAATGTGGGAGACAGATTACCATAAGAAACATAAGCAGAGATCGGATATAAAATCTTGGCGGTCCAACCATATCGATCAACTGGACGGCGATCACGCCTTGGATAACGACGCCCTAAATCACCATCCTCTACTGATAATATCTTATCAGGTAAAGTAACTGGCTCAGCACCTGTAATCTCATCAGTACTAACAACAGGTGCATCAATATGCTCAACAAACTGAGAAGTATTACCTGCATCGCCTGAGGTAGAGGGGATATCAGCAGGGTGATGAGAGCGAGGACAACGAGCATACACCTGCAAAGGAAGAGAGACTGGTAACTCTGTACTGACAGGGATGAGTGACTCCTTGGGAGGAAAAACGGATGACCCTGTAGGGATAGTGATCAATGACTCTGACTCTTGTGGTAATGGGAAGTCAAAGGGAGTATCATCAATTGGAGGGGCAGACAAAGGACTGAAAGGAAAATAAGGAATATGCTCAAGAAAGGTAACATCTAGACTGTGATACATACGACGCCTAATAGGATCATAACAACGATACCCCTTAGATTGATGACAATAGCCCACAAAGATACAACGAATCGCTTTATCATCAAGTTTATGACGAGTAGGAGACCGATCCTGAACAAAACATGTGCATCCAAAAACACGAGGGGGAACCGGAAAAAGTGTCCGCTCAGGAAATAAGACCTGTAAGGGAGCCTTATGCTGAAGAACACGACTCGGCGTACGATTGCACAGAAAGGTAGAAGTCAAAACAGCAAAATGCCAATAAGATTTTGGTACCCTCATGCCTCTAAGCAGACAACGTACCATCCCTATCAAACTCCTATTTTTCCTCTCAGCAACACCATTTTGCTCAGGAGTATATGGACAAGTGAGTTGCTGAAGGATACCCTGAGAAGAAAGGTGAGACACTAAAGCATCAGACACATATTCTTTGGCATTATCCGAACGAAGAGCACGAACAATGACATCGAATTGTGTCTTAATCATCTGTAAAAACTGAGTAATTATAGGGAGCACATCAGACTTCCTATGCAAAAGGTAGACCCAAGTACAACGGGTATGATCATCTATAAATGTCACATAATATCTGGCACCTGACAGAGCAGTAACGAGAGAGGGTCCCCAAATATCAGAGTGTATTAGGTCAAATGGCTTGGGTGACTGGTGCATGCGAGGAATATAATTGGCCCTAACATGTTTTGATAGGGAACAGATAACGCAATCAAGTTTACCACCAACACAAGCATTACTCAAAGCAGGAAACAACATACATAAATATTTAAAATTTGTATGTCCAAAACGGTCATGCCACAATTGAACAGTTTGTGACGAAAAATCATAACGACAACTACTAGGTAAAATACTAGCATGCAAGCTAGGAACAGAAAAAGACAAAGCAGGTGCAGGTGAAGGAATTGGTGAAACTGGAGATGGATTGCCAAGATAATACAGTCCATCTTTCTCATGTCCCCTGATAATAATCCTCCTGGTACTCAGGTCCTGCAAATAACACGAATCAGATAAGAATACAACCGCACAGTGAAAATCTCTGGCTAACTGATGTACAGATAATAGATTCATGGCCAACTTTGGCGCATGAAAAACCGAATGTAATGTAAGGCCATCTGGGAGACGGACTGTACCCCTACTAACAATAGGGGCATGTGTTCCATCTGCTAACTGAACCTGTGTATGTAATGGCTCGTCAAAAGTGGTGAAGTGATGGGCCTCACCTGTCATGTGACCATTCGCACCCGAGTCCAACATCCAAAGGGGAGATGAACTGGCACAAGCGTGAAAGGCACGAGATATACCTGTAGTGGTGACAGCAGCAGTAGACAGACTCTGAGAAGTCAGAGCAGACATAAGTATATCTAATCGGGAAGTGATAGCTTCCATATCACTTTGCCAAGGAGGAGCAGTAGCAGGAGTGGCGGTAGTGGGCGGTGGTACCTCAGCAATAGCAACAGTACGGCTGCGAGAAGGTGGCTTAAGCTCTGGATGGAGCTTCCAGCAAGTAGCCCTGAGATGTCCTGGCCGGCCACAATAATCACATTGACGGGAATCCCCCCGTCTGCGCTGATCTGGGGCGCCCTGACGGCGCTGGTCTGAGCGTTGCCCATCCCTGACTAAGGATCCTGAGCGGGACCCTACAGCAGCTGCAAGGGCCATCTGGTCAATCGAAGGAGTCAAAGCTGCAACTGGAAGTGATGCAATACGGACTCGACGCTCATGCTGCTCAATCATCCCATACACCTCATAAAGAGAAGGAAGTGTCAACATCGACAAGATCTGAGAACGAGGTCCCTCAAACTCATCACGAAGCCCCATAAGGAACTTGTGAATCCTATCCTCCTGCACTCGAGTATGCAAGAATGCTGCTCCCTCGGGCTCTATCTTCGGAATAGCAGCAAGAGGACGTAGAGACTCATACTCAAGCCAGCGCTGGGTCAAATAGCCATAATAATCCTGAACGGTCATATCTCCATGCCGAGCATATGAGAGCTCCTGAGAAAGCTCATAAACACGAACTCCCCGTCCTGACTGAGAATACATCTCTGATAATGCGCTCCATAGCTTCGGAACAGAGCTATGAAACTGGTGGATCCTGCAAACAGAGGGCTCCATTGAACCAAAAAACCATCCAAGAATGGCACAGTTTTCAGAGAACCATGCAGAATATCCAGGGTCGGCATCAGCTGGCTTTGGGTGAGATCCCGTCAGCCAACCAAGCTTCCCTACACGGCCTAAGAAAAGCTGGAATGAGCGTGACCACTCAGCGAAGTTACGACCATTCAACAATTGTGCCGTAACTTTTTGAGAGATCATGCCCGGTAATGCTGGTAATGCAATTGTGCTAGTAGGCACTGTATACTGGTCAAACATAAAAGTGGAAGTACCCATAGATGTCTCAACGGTAGAGGTGTCAACAGTAGGGTTCTCAAGTCCCTCAGTAGTAGCCATATCAACAACAATACTAGGGCACCCGTGACAGAAAAATAACTCTAAGATAAATAGAGGAATAAAATAAGGGAGAACAATATTCCTTCAGTCGAACAGTAGCGACAAATAAGGAAGGTCCAAAAAGCTCCCAAATAATTAAGTCACGGTGCCCAGAAATCCAAAATATATAAATAAGTGATCTACTGCATCAAGAGCAAATCAACAACCCCTTATAAAAAATCCTAGATATAACAGCGAGTTGGGTTTATTGGTTGGCAGTGGGCTGGGTATGGATTTAATATGTCGGTGGGGTGTATGTTGGGTATGGATTTAATATGTCTGGGCTGTGTTGGGTTGAGAATTGTTTTGGGTTGGTTTTAATATGTCGGTGGGTTATGGATTTAATATGTCGGCTGGGCTGGGCTGTGTTGGATTTATTGGTTGGTTTGATGTATGTTTGTTGTCGGTGGGTTCACACCAGTCGGGTTCACCAGTCGGTGGAGTGTGATGTAGGACAGTCGGTGGGTGATGTATGTTTGTTGTCGGTGGGTTCACACCAGTCGGGTTCACCAGTCGGTGGAGTGTGATGTAGGACAGTCGGTGGGTTCACCAGTCGGTGGAGTAGCGAGTTGTTTCGCTTCAGTCGGTGGACTGATTCGGTGATTCGGTGAATCGGTGGAGTATGTAATGGTGGCTGGGCAGTTTATTGGAGAACTGTTACAAGGAACCGGCTATCGGAGTTGGGTGAGTAGCGGCTGGTTTGGCTGGAGTATGTCGGTCGGTGGGCAGTCGGCAGTCGCTGGGTTCTATGGAGGCAGTCGCTGGGTTCTATGGAGGCTGTCGCTGGGTTCTATGGAGGCAGTCGCTGGTTTTGGAGGTGCTTTTTTTTGGTTCGCTGGTTTGGCTGGAGTATGTCGGTCGGTGGGCAGTAGGCAGTCGCTGGGTTCTGGTGGCCTGGGTGTGGCGCTGGAGGTTGGGCAGGCTGTTGCAGATTGTTTGGGTGTGGCGCTGGAGTGGAACGGTGGCTGCTGGGAAGGTGATGAAGGCTAGGGTTAAGGTTAGGGTTAGGGTTAGGCTTAGAGATGGAGGCTAGGGTTTTGGCTCTGATACCAACTTGGAATATGTGAAAGGGATACTCAAACTCAAAGTAGAGTCCCGTATATATAGCCAAGAATAATACAGAGTAAGGGTAAAAAGAGAATCTAATAAACCTAGACTACTATCTATACTCCAACAACTTCAATGTTTTAGCAGGAGCAAATGAGGTCCTAGAAATGTATTTCAGATTTTTAGAGGGCCTGGGTTGATTTGAGAGGGGCATCTTGCTGATGATGTGTATTGATTGATATGAAAACAATGACAATTTGCCTTTCACATACATTGTCAGATTGATGTTAAAAACTAGTTAGACCTAATGATTGGTAATGATTGATGGCTGTCACATGATCTGCAAGGCAGAAACTGGTCAAAGCAGTGCTGAGGCTCGTCAGTATGAGCTGATAAAGAGTCATTGACACTTAATTCAGTAAAAGAAACTGATATTATAAAGAGGAACATTAGGGTCCGAAGGCTGAATAACAAGCGTGCATTGCATAGCTCAGCTATGAAGGTTCATCCCCTTTATATAATGGATGTCCAATGAAGCAGGCAAGACTATACAAGATGTTGGATTTCATGGGATGCTCCTGTCCTGGAATCCTGCTCGTCTTTCTCTATCTTGTATTGTGCTAACAGACGAGGTGAGGTGAGCAGACATTTTAAGTAAAAAGATGAGGAGGCAGCTCCCTAATGGTCAGATTACCACATTTATGTCCTGTAATCATAAGGGGAAATTTCTATTCTCTGCCACTACGACATGCAACCTCGTATATTCAAACACTTTGAAAGGATGACTACTAATACACGATTTTGGCCTTTATTTGACCACTACTAGCACATCACCAGTATGTTACACCAATTGCAGGGGATTTCCTCCTCCAGCAGATTCTAGTTTTCATTTAACCACTACAAACTGGCACCACCCAGCTGAACCAATCAGAAACAAAAGGTATCATCTAGTAAAAAACCATATGGAAACTCCTAAATAAAGTTATTATGTCTACATTAAACAGGTATGAGATGCAAGCTTAAGCAAATACACAGATCAGAATCTGCTTTTATAACTTCTACCCACTCCTCTATCTCTAAACTCACGAAGCATGCAAGAGTTGATGTTTCCTGTAGCCCTATGTCTCACTTTTATTTGTCTTGAGTGTCAGAGATCCTTATCATGCTAGTATATCATTATCTCTGGCTGGTTCTGCATTCTGCTTTTCTTTTCTCATATTTGATTGGGTAGTAGTCATACTCATACGCATGTCCTTGTGATCTAGTTTGGCATCAACAATGGAAATATTATTAACAAGACTATAAATTTATACTCAATTGAGTAGTTTGTGTTTGAAAGAGCATTAGACTAACCTTTTATTCCGTGACCTTCGTTTTGCATAAGCATACTTACATTAATATTTTCTTCTGTCATATAGGTGTTCCTGCACAGTTGGAAAACCTTGCGGACCAACATAGTGGAGGGGACATAGAGAATCCTGTCCATGGTTGCATTTCAGGTTCGTCAAAGTTCAATCAATGTAATTTTTCTTTTCTTATGCTTTTCCTTCTCCTTTTATCATTACATTTTTATCTTCCCTACTTTTGTTTTAGAATTAAAGAAGGCATATAGGTATGGATCTCACACTATAGCTATTATACCCAATCTTTGATGCAATTACATATTACTAAATTTAGTTCTAAAAGCCAGATGCCTAAAGAATACATGTCATACAAAAACTCTGACATCAATCAAAACACAAACACCCAATGCATGTGAATTGTTGCCCATGAACTAAGAAAGTAGAGAGCATCAGATTGTTTGTGTTGGTTTTGTGCAGCAATTAATCACCATTGATACCATTGGTGGGAGATAGGAGTGTGACTGGGTGTCCATGGACTGGGTTACCCACGGGTTCCGTTATCCGACTCGAAAAAAAGACCCGAAACTCAATAGGCCTGATAGTTAGCCGGCCCGAGCCCAAGCTCAATATCCTTAAAAAAAAGGGATTGGGCTTGCCTCCAAATCTATTACCCGGCTCAATAACCCGCCCTGCCCACCCACCCTTCTTTTGAAAAAAAAGTTAGACTGTTAGACCATTGAATTTGAAACTTTGAAATAAGTCCCCTAATGCCAAAATTTGATGTTTTAGAAATTTAGAAACTATAAATAATATATTATTTTTTTTTCATGTATTAAGTATACACGTTTTAAAGGGTAGAGTTGTACAAATGACAGATAAGTGGGTATGTGTCAACTTAGTTGGAATGTGCTCATTCTATTGTGATGTAGTTTCCCCATTAAAAAATAAAATTATTCATTATTTATTTTTTGTCCATTTTGACTATACTTTTGATTCAAAAATATTAAGTTACAAAAGTATTTATTATTTTTAAATGAAGTTGTATATAAAAAATCCCTTGAGCAAGCCTGCCATGGCCGCCCAAAAAGTCCCCTACCCAATAGGCTCACGGGTTGGGTTGCAAGTAGCCAAATCTACCTGAAGGCCGGCCTGGCCCACCCAATAACTCACCGGGGTGAGGGCTTGGGCCTACCCTACCTAGGCCCAACCCGAAAATAATTTCGCGGGCTTAGCTTAGCTCGGCTCGGCTCGGCTCATGGACACCCTTAGTGTGAGGTAGGAAAAACAATAAAAGAAAGCAAAAGTATATACGTAGTTACATACAACGTACTTGTGTCAGTATACCATACGTACATCTATAAACAAAAAAGTTATATCGGTATTTTTTGTCTGACAATCTGGTAATTAATTACGGTGCGTTCAACCCCATTTTATAGAGTAAAGAATTGATAAGGTAAAGATAAAATAGTCACTCATGACTAATGACTATTCAAACATTGTCGGATCTCTATATTTTATATCAAGTCATTAGTAAATTTGCTGTACTTTTCCTCTTTGATTTTGGGTTTAACATGTAGTTACTCAACAATTCCCACTCATGTGTGAAGCACATCACTTTTAGCTCCCTATTGATCTTGATCCACTTACTTTTTTCAAGTATCACGTGCAAATCCTCTCTTATGAGTCTACCACAATCCTCTTTATATTTCAAGATCCGTTGTCTATGTGTCTCAGTCCGCATCTTACCTATTCCTAGGAGGACTCAGTGGTAAACTACTTCATCAATCTATCAAAGTAAAAAGTCTTGACCCGTAAACCTATGAGACACCATATCAATATTGACTGGATATCGACCTAGTATCTCCCTTAACATAGTTATAACTGTAAGAGCCCAAATTCTTGAAGAACCATCTTCAACATTAGTACACTACATCACTTGAGTTCTACAACAATTCATCAGTCACATGTGTTGATGATATTCGTCTGGGATCCATACACTTCATCAAAAAATCCTAAGATTGCTTCCTTAATGTACGCACTAGAGGAACCTCTCCTTTTTGATTGCTTATTGCAATCAAAAAGTATTGAACACCAAGAACTTCTACTGCCAAAAGGCATGAAGAAGATGACATAACAAAAACAAGTCTTGTTGTTTAACAATAATCACCTATATTTCTGCTGTGATAGTTTCTCTATGATTGTCAATCTGATATGATAAAGTTGACCCGCCATAATCAACAATTTGCTTTGATTGGGTTGATCCAGGATCGTCAATTGAGCTCTAATAACTCAGGGTCATCAATCTAGCGTTGATTAAGTTGACACGAGTTGGTTAACAACATGTTTTGATATCACTTGCTAGTTTTGTGCAGCGATTACTCAACATGGATACCACTTTTTGGGAGATAGGGATAGGAAAAATAATAAAACAAAACCAAAAGATATATATGATTCAATACAACATAATTACGTCGGTACACTGTGCTTATATCTATGAACAAAGATCTATATAGATGCTTTATAATCTGACAATCTAGTAACTAATTAAGTTGTACTTGGCGCCAATTATAGGGTGAGGAATTGATAAGATAAAGATAAAATAGACACCCATGACTATTCAAACACTGTCGGATCCCTATATGTCCTATTAGGTCTCCAATAAATCTATCTATAGTCAAGAATTAAAATTTTGTTTCAGAACGATTAAAACGTCCGAAACGAACCAGTGATGGAATCAAAATTCTAATATTTTGAAGTATTCCATAATGTTTTGAGATGTTTTGTAATATTTCAATGCATTTGCACAATTTTTTTTTGGAATGTTTCAAGGTATTTTAAGATATTTTGATATAATTCGATCAATTTTTTAAAAAATAATTTTTAAAATTTTTATTTTTTCATTATATTTCCGAACGGGTCGAAACGTTTCTAAAACACGTCGAAACGTTTCTGTTTCTTAGGTGACCAAAACAATACACCGAAATAAAATTTTGATTCTTGTCCCCGATATATTACTGCCCTTTTAATTCTTTTTTTCTTCTTGATTTTGGGTTGTCACATGTAACTACCCAGCAGTTTGGAATGCCTATTGGATAGTGGAATTGAAATAACCAATTTTACCATTTTCTCCCTTTATTTTCATTGTAATATCATTTAAGAGTATAGAAGATTGGGTCTACAAATATTAGTTAAAAAGACAAAATTACCCTCCTTCATTCTAGATGTATCTGCCAGCAAAGATATGCAAAGCTGCACCCACCACCATCATTAACAACCCGCCTTCCTACTAGGGTTGGGCTCCAACTCCGACAAAGTCGGAGAGCACACATCCGACCTCTGACTTCGAACTACTATACCTCCGCCTCAACTCCACCTTGTCGGAGGTGGAGCAGAGTTTCGAAAATAGATACAATCCAAAAAAATAAAAAATAAACAATCAGAAATTTGTCAAATGTTTGCACAATATATCTAAGATTTGCTCATCGACCGAAGAGATGGAGGGCTGCTTTTCAGCGACTCAACTGTGTGTGAGAGAGAGATTCAAAGCATCCTTGTCGTTTGAGAGAGACCAAAAGAGAGGAAGAAACACAAATGTGGCCGAAAATAAAATAAATATACACATATATAAACATAGAGAGAGAGTTATTGTCTCAACTTCAGTCGAAGATTTGAGAGAGATTCAACCGGAGATCTGAGAGAGTTTCGCTTGTGCTGGTTTGTTGAAATCTTAGATCAACTTGTTGGCTAGAGGGAGATTGAGGGTTGCTCTTCGTCAACTCAATTGTGTGTGTGTGCGCTTGTGAGAGGGAGGGAGAGAGAGAAGAAAAATAAATGTGGACCATGTGGGTGTGGGTTGCAGAGGTGGAACTAAGTTATGGCCTAGGGGGGCCATGGCCCCCTCAAGTTTTGCAAATTATATATCATACATTTAAAATTTTGTTTTTGATTACAATTTATATGTCCCTCAAATTCTTTAAATTATACTTTCTACCCTTGAATTATATTAATCTTAATTTTATTTTATCCTCGACTATTTATTTGACCACATTGAACCATTTTGCATGCATCGGTAAATTTTGTAAAATAAAATTAATGTTAGATTTAAGAGGACAAACTATGATATATTCAAACACCATATAAATAGAGTTTAAAACCGTTATAGAATATGTATTTGAGATATTTACTCTCCTCTCTCTCTTTGCATTTTTCAAAGGTACAATGAAATCTAGTTGTACTCGGGGATTCCAATGCTTATGTGATGAGTTGATCTAATTTTTATGTCCAATTGGTTCGACTAATTTCAATTAATTTTACCAATTTTATTAAAAATAAAAATACAAAAATGTTTCGTGTGATGTTAATTTGAATAGGTTTTATACATTTGAAAATTTTACATTAACAATTTTATTGAATAACTCGTATTTAATTAAAATATCTCATTGCCTCTCTATTTGGCACCCCTCAAAATAATAAAATAAAAACTTGAACCCGTCCCTGGTGGGCCTGGGCAGTGGGCTTAGATAGAGATATGGATTTTAGAAACAAACAAAGATAGGGTTTTTAGATTTAAATATTATATAATTTATAATTTATATAAATTATTATTTAATAAAAATCAAAGTAAAGAGTCTGAGGTTTTTTTGGAAAGGATTTATAACTCTACCTCTGATTCGAGCAGAGGCGGACCGAAGTCAAAATTTTGGATTCTTACACACCCGTACTCCCCATCCATCATCATCAGTAGCATCCCTCTTCAACAAACCCACTTCAAACCTAGCGCAAATAAAATTAAAAGGAACAATTACAAATGGACTTACAGAGGCGTGCACAACCGATGAAGGATGGTGAATGCGAAAACCAGTCACACATGCAGAAATGATGGCAGAATAGAATAGGGGTTGACTGCTTCTTTGATTTTGATTTCGATCCATAAGCTATTTTTCTTCTATTCTATTTTGGTTGCAATATGGTGCGGTTCCATTTCAATTCGATTTCATTTGATTAGTTTTCTGGAATTTGATTCGTAGTGGATCAAATTTGATTTCCAGTAGGTTGATTTGATTTAGGTTCGATTCACTTTCTGCTATTTCATTTTTCAAGTTTTGATTTTAGATGTTCAAAAGTTGTCGTGAATTATGGAGAGTGGGGATTTGTTGGCAGAATTAAAAACCGATATTGTGCAAAGCACTTGTTTAGCTTCCACTCAGCTGCATTTGGTTGCTACCTAATTTTTCAAAAAATAATATTTATTGGTCATAAATTCTAAAAGTTTGGTGAATGCAAGTGAGGATGAGATCTGTGCAGGAGCATATTTTGATATGCACAGGATGATTATTTTTTGTTTCACTGGGTTTTGAGAAGCGGAGGCGGGAGCTGCCGGAGAAGAAGTGGGGTTATAGATCTTTCCCTTAACGTCGTTAAGTATGTATTTTAGTCCACAAACTACATGAAGTTTATGTGGCTTTTTGAAGGCGAGGGCCTCAGGCTGTTGTAGTCCATAATCATGTCGATTTGAGCACCGTATTATGTCCAAATCTGTTAGTATGGGACCGGGGCTTGTACGAAACTAGCTATTTTCAGGGTCTCGTAGTCCAAGTTAGCTGGCTCGACATTACTTTATTTCCCTTGTGGAAGACTATGCACTACACATGGAAAATTGTATTCTTGAGATTTGTTTACTAAAGTCTTCTACCAGATTTGTTACATACGAATTTTTTGTTTTTTCGTGGCAAACAATTTAATTCTTGGTTGTTATGGTTATGTACAGTGGTGCAAAATTTGCATTCAAAATTCTGGAAACTTACAGGAAAATTAGGTATGTAATGGGCTAATGGCTACTTCATGTTCATAGCCACATTAAATATTGTTGATATCTTGCCTTAAGTTCATTTGATTGCAGTGCCACAGATCAAGCACATCCAAGAGATAAAAGTGATACATCATCAAGCAGTTCAACTTGTGAAACTCCTTTGTATGGAAATTGTGAAATTGGATTACTCAAAAGCTGCGTCAATATTTGGAGTTTCACTAAAAGTTGCAGCAATTACTGGGGTTCGTGAAGTTGTTGAAGAGATTTTAAGTTCATTTCCTGGTGCAATTTATCTTAAAAATGAGTTTAACCAGACAATTTTCCATCTTGCAATTGTGAATCGTCGTGAAAATATTTTCAATCTGGTTTATCAATTCGAGGAATTTAGCAACCTATTTATCTCAACAGTAGATAGCACAATGAATAATGGTCTACATTTGGCTGGTTGTTTGGAAAGTCAACAGAAACTGAATCTCAGAGCTCGTGCCGCTGGTGCAGCTCTACAGATGCAACTTGAATTACAGTGGTTTAAGGTAACAAATGAATCTTTTTTATAATAGGAATATAATATATTTCATGTCATTTCCATTGTGCTTAAGCAAGCATTGCCCTACTTGGCATAGCTTGGTTAACTACGCTAGGTAGATGTGATTATTGAACAGTGCTCCTTAGTGGTTGGTGTCTAGCCCCCTTTGCTGATATGATAAGCGCATAGATTATTGGATAATAAGAGCAGAAGAAAAGTTAGAGAGAGGCTTTATCCTCTCACAACACTAAGAGCAGGATTCGAATATTTGATCTAATCAACGCTCAATTACTAAGAATAGGTGTTAGGATTAACAGATAAAGTAATCTGGAATCCCAACATCATTACCCAAGTAGATAAGAGCTTATAACTTCAAGGCTTCAGATCTTCGTTTTCCTGAAACTTTACATAGTCGATTCATATTAGCAAACCCATCATACAAATTTAGATAGTATCTTAACTCACTTATGGCTCATGCTGCTGTTCGTCTAAGCATACATATCGAATGTCACCTAGTTCATATCTCCATAGCAATGGAAACAAACATATTATATCAGTGTAGGCAAGGTAAATAAACTTAGACTTGACAAAACAATACCATGTAGTGCATTTTACACTAGCCTATGACTTCAAAGCAATTGATTCACATATTTTCACATTATAGTGATAAGCATAGTTGAAATCCCTTTGAGGATTTTCAAAACTTAGTTAACATTATTCAAGGTGGGTAAACAAGTATGACAGCACTCTATGTGATGAAAGCATTGTATGAACTTAATCCATATACTTTTAATAGCCTAAGATACCACACATAATTGTGAAAATAACCTTCCTCTTATTGACTTTTCATGAACACAGTCCACACACACACACACTCTTTGTGAATGAAAATTACAAACGTAACAAGTTCATAACTATCATAATGCACATGCTGCATGCAGTTATACTAATTGAATTAATCTGGCATCTGAAACATGTATATGGTTGAAGTAATTAGTAATGTTTCTTTGTATACTGTGTCTCAGTTGGACTAAGTTGATATAATAGTAAATTCAATGACCAATCCTTATATATGAATTAATTATCTGATCACATCCTTGTTGACATAAATGATTGGGATGAAATTGCTTATTTACCCCTAATTTGATTGGTCAATTTTGTTTTTTGACAAAAAGAAAGCACATAGAAGAGAGCAAGAATCAAACCCTTCCCTCTGCCTGCCGCAACAATTCTCCTTCCAATCTCACAACAACCACTACTTTTTGCCATCAGAAATCAACAATCAATCCAACACCTCCATCCTATGACTCCAAGAACAATCAATACATTCCTATATTGAGACCAATCTAAGCCCAACAACATAGCCAACTAATTAATCAAAGTTGAGAACGAGGCCAGAACCAAGACCACTAGTTCAAACGCATTTATTCTAGACTCCCTCTCTCTAACCACCTATCTATAGCCATCTTCTTCTGTGCAATCCCTACCATATCCACCAATTTGTGGGTTTGAGAGTTTCCAAGAGACGAAGACCCACTTTTGTATGAGCTCAAACATCGCAACTCGAGAGAAAAAACACTACCATTATTCTGTTGTGTTGCTGTATATCCTTGTGTATGCCGCCAGCCCCCCCGGGGGGGGGTGGGGGTTGTATGTGAGAGAGAGAGAGAGGAAGGTGTTTGGATATATAGGTTATTTTGTTTCAATGCTAAGTTTTGGATTTGGAGTTAATGTATTCTAAATGAGGAAACTGGCATTTTTTGATGAATTTTGATGATGCAAGCCATTTCTGTTAACATTACTAATGTTTGTTCCAAGGAGAGGGTGGTGTTGTTAAATCCTTGAATTGCCTGAAGTATCAACATGATAAATCTAAATTTATTAGGGAGTTTTATTGCAATTTATTTTGTTAAATTCTACACGTTTTATGTGCATATCATTTAACTATTATTTTATGGAGTGATGATACCTACAAAAGAAATTTTGCCTTGGATATTTATAAAGAATCACTCAATGCGTTGCACACTTGCTTTCTAATTCAAAAATCACCAATTATGTAGGAAGTAGAAAATTTTACTCTGGTTCCAGATAGAGAACGGATGAACAACATGGGGAAGACACCAAGGATGTTATTTACAGAGACACACGAGGAGTTAGTTAAAGAAGGAGAGCAATGGATGAAAGACACATCCAATTCATGCACAATTGTAGCAGCATTAATTGTTACAGTTGTGTTTGCTGCTGCCATTACTGTACCAGGTGGAAACAATAGTGCTGGCCTTCCAGTTTTCTCCAAAGACAAAGCCTTCACAGTGTTTGCCATATCAGATGCCCTAGCTCTTTTCTCTTCAAGTTCTTCTTTGTTAATGTTCTTATCCATCCTCACTTCACGTTATGCAGAAGGCGACTTTCTCTATGCGCTACCCAAGAGACTGACTATAGGTCTTGTGACCCTATTTCTTTCCATAATATTTATGATGGTAGCCTTTGGAGCCACACTTTATATTGTTTTTGGAGATAAAAAAACTTGGATTCTTGCTCTTGTGGCTGCGTTGGCTAGTCTACCTGTGATCTTTTTTGCATCCTTGCAATTTCCCCTCCTTGTGGATATGATCAAATCCACTTATGGCCGCGGCATTTTTGGTAAGCAAAGCAATCGTGTCATTTTCTAGGCTATGGACATTCATTGGTGCAAAATTACGCACCCCAATTATGTATCGGTGATTATCCATGAGTGATGAATAATTTAGCATTTTTTTGTTGGAGTGTAAATCTGTGCAGCACTTGTGTAAAGAAAACAAGCTTTGAAAATGCATTGTCAGCTAATTGTGTTGTTTTAACTGTTCATGTGGAAATTAGTTGGTATTCTTATGTTTTAAGTGCTCGTTTATTATTATTCTGTCACAGTTGGTGGGTTTTCAAGTTTTTACTGCTCCTTTACTATACATATTTTTGTTGCTGTCAACTTTACTGGGCAAGACTGGGAAGCAAATGCACTAGTTATGTACTTACGGGGTATACAGTTCAAGTTACAAGCAAAAGAGATGTAAATTGAGCGCTCGTGAAAAGCATGCTAATTCAGCAACAATTCACATTAAAAAACTGAGAAACAGTCGGATCACTTTTTAGTCTGCTTAAAGGCCATGCGGAGTTTCTATCAAGTTTAGACAAAGTCAGTAACCAATTTTTTAAATTTTTAGTTTTTTTAATTTTTTAAATTAGATGCCATTTGAACTAGTGGATACAATGCAAACTTGAGGTGAATGCAATCATCTTAGTCTATATTCTCTTGCAAGTCTCGAACATGAAACTTTGAAAGAGCAATCACTGAAAATTTCCCATTTGAGTTACACTAACGTGTGACCCCGATGGGTTGAAGCTAAATGTAAGCTTGATATGCAAGCTATTGATTCCTGCACTCCATCATCAGAA